ACACATTATTTAACCATTACTGCTCTTTAAGTTGCTGCCACGTAAAAGTTGGTATTGCATATAAAAAAGAAATATCACACCGTAATCCATGACCAGGCGAAGTTACATTTAAATCACATTGCGTTCAGACGCAAATCGCGATGCGGGGAAACCGATTCGAAACCACCTCTAGAAGTGGCTTGGGATCGAGGCGCTTTCAATGTGATTTCGGAGCGTTCACATGGAGCCACTTGAAACCGGCTTCGGGGTAAACCACATGTAAACCGCCTTGGGTGATTCCGTTTAGACACGGCCAAAGATATCCTAATCAGAGGATCAACGGGATCATGAATTCTAAACACCCTGGCTTTTAGCACAGACCGCGTTCCGTAGTATTTCTACGTGTCTTGTAGTGAGTCAAGTATGAGAAAATTATGTCTATTTTCAAGGAAAATACTCTGGTGATCTTGCTCCAGACTTCTACATTTCAACAACCCCCAATTCTGTTGGAAAAGATACGCCATAAATTAAAAATGCACAATTATTTCAGATCTTTTGGTGGCTGTACATAATACAGTATCAAATTGGTAAGACAGCATTATTGCTTAACAGTCTTCACTTGGCTTGTGAAAAAGGAAATTCCGATAAAAACGCCTAAAACATGTAAAAAGGGTGAAGCCCAAACGTCTGCTTGGAGAGAACTTTTGATACGAGTATACGTAAGAGGTGTGAGTGGTTCCAACCTGTTAGTCCGGTTTGTACTGGTGGTAAATAAAGCGTTATACTAGTACCTCTAGGCCATTTACCGATTACTAGTAGTACAAACAAACAAACAAGCAAACAAACAAACAAAGAAGCAAACACCCTCCACATATTTGCAAGTACTAGTAAATCAAATGCGTCTGTAACTTTTTGTTTCAAATTCAATATACAACAGTGACACTTGACATTTTAGCAAGCTTAGTTTTTCATGTGGGTGAATGACCTTCGAGGGAAGCTTTACTCTGTCAATGACCTGTTTTGTTTGTTTAAAAATTAGTTTCTTGGTGTTACGTCGTATAAACGTTACGGTGAGTGATTCCAAAGTGGCCTAATCTGAAGAAAGCCACCGGATTCACACAAAAACGACAGCAACAGTGAGCTCGGAAGTCCGAACCGACAGTTTTATCTTGTGTTTATTTTGATTTCGGTGTATCCAGTCGGAACACGTGCGTGAAGTCAGGATGACTAGCTGAGTGGATGTCCCCCAGGCGGGGACTGGTTTCTATCAAGGTCAGGCGAACTTCCCGCCTTTAGCGGTCAGACATCCTCTGTCGTCTGCAGCACACCTGTTCATGTTTCCCAGCTTTTGTCGTGGAAAAACAACATGAATATCATAATATGATAGCTTTTATAGCACTCAATCATTTCATTCTGTGGAAGGCAGTTCAACAGGTAGTCGTAAACAGCATACTAGTATTGCGCGTACGGCCACGTCATCTAGCGGCTCAATCAGAACTGCAGTCTTATTATCTACACGTCAAACTCTTGTATATTCAATCGTTCTGTCTGATTTCAAAAGAAATTCTCTTTCTACTGATATGCATGTAGACCCCAAACAATAGCGTTTGTGAATTTTTGGAAAGAAGTCTACGAAAACACACCAATTGTTGTGGAGTTCCTTAAACAATATATATATATACATTTTGTATGCCTTGTGTACAAAAATAGTAAAAAAATACAGTTTGAAGCGTCTAATAAACTTACACTGCAAATGCCTTCTGTTTATCCTTGGGATTACTAAGATGTACTCACCCCTGCATACCTCTTTATAATTACGGTTGGGTGTGTTTGTTTGTTTGTTACGTGTCAACTGGCTAATAATAATGCGGTAATGCCAGATTATAGTCCAGGGCGTTTACTGTAAATTACTTAGCGGTGAGGTACATGCAGGATCGCGGATTTATATATAGCTGTCCACAGAATCAGGTAAAAGACATTTGCAGACTGTTTTTTCTACACAAGGCTGTAATCTACGTGGCCAAGTCACGTAAATATCTCATCCATTTTGGACCATCAGCCTTGATATATAATTATCACGTCAAAAGAGTCGATTGGTTTCTGTACAGTGAACTTCTAAAATTCTTTTATTTTCTAATTTGAGCAATGTTGATCGGACGCAACATTTCACATCATCGTGACGAAGCAAAAACGTCACTATTTTATGATGACCTGTATCGTGCTTTCGAGAAATTTCTCAATCCATCCATACTTCAGTGCATGTAACGTTGAACGAGTAGTTGTGTTTTCCTGTCACTATTAAAGATGTTATTGTTTTGATTCCACTCCAGTGCAGTGTATCGATGTTGGGTCTCCTTTTTTTTCTCAGTTTTTAATCCTAGCCAAGGTACGCTGTTCAAAGTTTACACTACAGGGAGGACAAGGTGTTCTAGCGGTGAATTCGTGGCCAATGACACGTTGACTCATATCCTGACTACTGAGGGAGGGGAGAGATTGCGTGTCACTGTCTTCGTTTGCTCTAAGGTTTCCACAAAAGTGTTCAGAGGTCATTCTTCTGGTCCGACAGGTTGCGTGAGGAAGTGCCACGAAATACCGCACGACACATGACGACATATTATGGGCTGTGGTGACGTACATAAGCACACCTAAGCGGTAGGATGAGACGACCGTTTAGCGATGTGCACTTTGCGGTCTTTCAGATGGGTGCGTCATTTTCCCTCCTGGATAGATCTGTGGTCTGGGTTCGTCTTTCACACGCCTCATCCTCTATTCTAGACTTTTGTCAGGGGATTACATAGAATTTCTGTGACGTATAGGAACACCTGTCCATGCTGCACGCAATAGAGGTGCGCCAAATCGGAAATGTTTTTTTTTAACAAGAAAACATTAACAGACATCTTCATGGGTTTTGTCAAAATGGTACAAAAATGTGAATCGCCCGTACGTTGAAGAAAAACTAGATATAGTTACAATACATATATTCTATAAACCTCACACGTCGCTAACTGTGTGATTTCTAACCAGTAGATTCGTGCGGTTATCCTCTGTCTGCAAGGCAAATGTTACTAGTACATTAAAGGCAAGGTAAGGACAAACACCAGATCTTCCGTACCACCTAGAAGAACAGGAAACACGACACTGTATGTTGCAGAGGACGTCCTTTTCCTACAAAAACAACCGCCAGGGAAGAGGCTTGAGAAAATAGCACGTGGTTTGAATAAATGTTTGGTTTAACGTCCTCCAGTGACCGATAAGTACAACCTCAAGTTGGGCTATCTGCCAAGAGGTACTGGAAGTCTAGTCTATGGTTCGCTATAGTCTCTGTCAGACTTCTTCGGAGGCTGAAAAACACGCGCACACATATCTATATATATCTAGAATTGCTGTAGAAATTCGCCAAATGATTCACAGTCGAAGATTTGGTCCGCATTGTCCGAAGCTGGGTGTGGAAAGACATGTTGCTTAGTTTCTATCAGTAGTAATCTCTAGTCAATTGTATCGCTCTGGCTATTCAACTATGTGTATTCTCTGCATCTGGCCCACTGTACGGTACGGTTTTAGGCAAGATGTAGTGAAAACAAACAACCCAAAAAGTGCCACAAAACAAGCGAACAAAAGAACTAAAACAACTCAACTGTGGGGAATTTGCCACAACCGCATAGGACGTAACTACATGTACATGTAGTTATCGTCAATGAAGAAACTAGGCATTCAGTACTAATAAAATGTAGGAAATAATTGAAACAGCGGTATAAAACGCATAGAAAGAAAAGACATGAGAAAGGAAAACAGATACCAATACGATAACAAAGAGCATACCAAACAAAACAAAATGATTTTGTTTTAACACAAATTGTTAAAAGGCATTTCGGCAGAAAAAAAAAAGAAAAAAATGCATTTCGGCCGGTGTTGCAAATGTTCATGCTCTTCATGCTATTTCAGACAATCACCAGACTTCACAGGCTACCACACGCACATGTATGGCAATCTGCACCCCTTCAATTGTACGATCGGACACTTAAAAGGTTGTTTGAACTACACGTAGAACTGGTGATGTGGCTAAAACTCACCCGCCATGTGTGGTCACCACTGACGCAAAGACCGCGCACATAAATCCACCACACGTCACCCTAATGAGAGCAAAAGGCTTGTTACTTCCATTGTTTGAGAAGCCGTAGTTTTTTTTAAGTAAGTGTGTGTTCTTGCCGCCAGGTAAAAGCAATGGTCACGCCCACAAGATTCTCAGTGACCCAAATGCAAACCTAATTTGGGCGGCTTTTAATTTGCCTCCCCTCCCGATACTAGTATACTGTAAAGTATGTATAGATTGTATCTATTTGAAAAAAAGAATAAAATGTTTCCTCTTCAAGTCACGCTGTATAACCCTGCATAACCGATATGACATGAGTCACTGAAATGCCAGTCATATTACTAGTTTTTCCTTTCAAGTTCTCGTTTCAAACACCGCATTCATTCTTTTGCGGTTCGTTCAAACACCTAGCCTGAGGGAAATTTCAAAAGCTGTTTTTTTTCTCTTTTATACTGATAGATGGAATAAGAGTAGACATATGTCGTGAGGTAGAATAGTGTCTTATTACAGGTTAACAGTATGTTTGTTACCATGATATTGCAGTAGATGCCGTGCGTTGTACTTCGTACAATTGTCGTGCAATGAAATTCATTATGCTAAAGACATATTTCAGTGGTTCTTGAGTTTTTATTCCGCTGCCAAATATTCAGTTCAAAATTAATTGCTAATTGGATGGACTTAATTAGTATTGTACCAAGACCGCCTTGAAATAACTTGAGGCCTGACGTAACTGCCGGCCAATGGTTAATTCATTTGTATTACGTAGACACAGCTTGAAACGCTCCTGTGTGTGCAGCGCTACCTAAAGCCTTGCTTTTTTTAAAACCTCCTTTGTAAAAGTAAAACACGAAGCGGCCGGTGTGTTGACTTTGTGTTTTGTTTACTGCCCGGAAGTGAGTTTGGAAATGAGAGGGTGCCCTGCCCATTCCACGTGACGTAACTTCCGGCCCGGACGGTACTGGTGTGGGCAGGCTTCAGTGGTAGTGGCAGCGGCGTGCCGAGTTCGATCCCCGCCCCCGCAACCACACAACTCCCCGGAAAGTCCCCGCGATTGTGGAGAGACATGAACTGGCACGGGGAGCACCACCACATTGTCGTCACGTCACCGAAGAGGAAGCACCACCCAGCCGATCGCGAGTCGCTGCCGCGGACATGTCGAGGTTAGAGAGACTGGAACCCGCGACCCTCCAACTGCTCGGGTTTGTACTCGTGTCGGCCCTGCTGTTGTCGGAGGTCCCAACCTCCCGGGCATGTGTCCCCCCACAGGGCGAAGGAGAAGTCCGGACAAGTCCTGAGTGGCTAGCCTACCAGTCGCCGATCGTAGTCGACGCCAAAGTCGCGGAGACCCTGCCCCCAAACCCGGATTCCAACAGATACAACGCGACTTTTACTATCAGGAATTTGAAAAGAAACGTTTTCAAAGGACAGCTCTCCGGTCGGAGTAAAGTCATCACCGTAGCCCAGTTCGGAGCTGAGAAATCTTGTGTGGACCTAAAGAAAGGCCAGAGATACTTCCTGTTCTTGGACCCGTTAGAAGAAGGATCGGACGTATACAGAGTCCACTACAACCCGGTCTTGTTCAACAAGAAAGAGCAGAAAAAAATCAAGAAAGCTGTGTGCAAGGGCTGCGGTAAGTGTTTTCTCCTAATTTTTTTCGTGTTTTCGAGGTTCTGGGGTGGCGATCAGGTTTCATTTACCCCGCGGTGTTGAAATCAACAACGTCCTTTGTTTCTGTGTGTTGAACAGTCCTGTTAGAAGAGGCGTGTTTTTTCTAGGACACACAGAAGTCCAGGTTGAAACCCCAGACTACACCCTTCTTGTCTCACACTTACCTGAGAAACTTCAGGGATTGTTGTGCAACTTTTGTGATGTAAGTTAGCATGGGGAGGGGGGCGACAATGATTTATACCTGGGGGAACACCTGTGAAAATTTGCATCTAGACCGTCAAGTAGTCTGTCAGAGAATGTTCGTCCCACGGCGTTGTCTTGGACATTTCTTGCTCCGGGGAAACGCTCCGGTATTGAACTTCGCGTCTCGTACGCGGCGGGGTTGATAGCCGCTCGTTACATGATGAAGTGCGCTGGAAAGGATCTTCCTCTTAAGGCTCAGTTGTGTTTCCATGGCGATCCATCATTTTAAAGGGCGGCATACGGATTTTTCGTCAAATTGGCATATCGTTCCCGGGTTTGGGTCGAGGTGGCAGCGCCAAATTGCGAAATGGGCCCTAGCATTTCCAGTTCATTGTCCCTGCCTATAAAATAGCTTTGCAGCTGATTTGGTATTCCACTCACAGCGTGGGCCGTATTAACAAAGCTCAATCTGTCGCAGCATTGCGTTCAGCCTATTCAGGGAGATTACGAGGGAGTACGCCGGGACTGTTTCGGCCCCCCGAGTGGGGACTTGACAAATTTGAATCCGCGGCAAATAAAATGAAATGATCCGCCCAGTTTATTATTTGGAGACCTTTTTTTCCCCGGCATAGTGATCAAGATAATTTCTCGCCCGGCTGCGTGAGATCAATGGCATGAAAATTGACCGCCTAAAAGCTCGGGGTAAAATATAGGCTTATCTCACGGAGGGATCAATGATATGGGAACGGCGACGGCCCGTTTTCGTCGAACTTGGCTTGCCGTCAAATTGAATTCGATAAGGTCGCCAGCAAATGGAAATCCACTCGATTTGAAATACAAAAGGTGGGCAAAGCCCGCCTGGCAGAAAAGGGCTTCTGGTTTCAATATCTAAATTAGCTACCTGAGATGCGTGAACACTGTTAACTTCTACCTATAAAATACCACTGTATCAACTGCATTAGAAACAATAGGAGAGACCTGATCTAAAATCTTGGTCCTCCTGAAATGTTAGACTTCTATTGCATATACCGTACAGTAATGTATTTGTGAGAAATGGTATAATGTTTCGAACGGAATAGAAGTTGTATAAAATGTGACAGGTAGTACATTTATGATGTCAGTTCTCTCTTTTATTTTCGTGACGTAGGTAGCAAGAAGCAGAGGGTGGCGCTGGATAAATATGACTTGGTTTGACTTCCTGAAGTGAGACCTCCCACCCAAATATACCAAATACCTTTAGCATGTTGTAGTACAGTCTGGCCGCCTACCCCTCCCCAGTTACTCTGCCACTGTTTACCTGTTTGTTTACGCTTCTCCTGTTGCCACGGGTGACTCTTCTCCGAACAGCAGCTAGGTACAGTGTGGACACTGTGGAGTACTGACCAGGTCACTGTTATAACAAAGACTTACCTCATTCCCACATGACTTACTAGAGCTTTCTACTGTTCTATAGTCTTGCGCAATCAGATTACCTAAGCATGAGCTAAGGGGGATTTCCCCCTCCCCCACTAGGAAAGTGTGGCTTACAGTAGAAGACTGAAATGCCTGGTTTAGTTTTATAAGAAGTATCCGCTCTACTGGAAGCGTTTCTTGACATAGGGAGTTATTCCTTCCGCTCTGTATTTAAAGGGTTGGGGTTTGCTTGTTCTGAGTTGTACACCCTCTTTAGTTAGACCGGAACCTCCCATATTTGTTTAACTCTAGCGGACTCATTACATATGACCTCCTTGGCTCTGGGAGTAAATGACTACTGACCGAATTGGCCCTTTAAAAATGTCAGCAAAAAGGTCGGGAAGGAAGTTTCGTCATGCGGAGTTTCATCATTCATAATATATGGCTTTCCTGATATATGCTTCTGTATAATAGCTTTTTAATGAAATTACAGCAAGTAGTTGCTATGTGACTTATTCTATTAGAGCCTAGATGATACAAGGAGATACAGAAAAATGTCTGCTGTAGTTTGTTAAAAATTCAAACTGATACCTTTTGTCTGATTCATAATTGATAAGACAGACTGAAAAATAGCTACAATGATTTGTGTTTGATCGTTTATTCTTAGCATTTATTCTTAGCATTTAGAGGATGTGTTTCTAAAAACAACAAAAACATTGGAGCAGTATTGGTGTAAAAGGACGACCCTCCCCTTCTTTCCCTGGGTTTTGACCCTGGCTGATCCTAAGTAAATAAAATTTGGTCCTCCCCAGCATGGGACCACAAACTGGCTAGTCTTTATTTAGACCAAGGTCGCGCTTCGTGCCAGAAGTAGGGTTTTGCCGCGCGCGCAGTGAGCTTGCGGCTCTTGAAATGTTGTGGTTTATCGATATGTTTTAATCCTTTTGGAGAAAGATGTCAAAAACTCATGCAAATTTAATTTCTTGGTTGTCTGATTCTCCTCTTTGTTGGTGCGCAGTGAGCTTGCAAAATGTTGTGGTTTATCGATATGTTTTAATCCTTTTGGAGAAAGATGTCAAAAACTCTTATCATAAGGCCGTGTGAATTTAATTTCTCGGTTGTCAGATTGTCGTCTTTCTATATAAATCTTGAAGAAATTTTATGTAATGATATGTGAATTACCAGTACATTTACAATTTTTTGTCACTTTGTTGCATTATACGTAATGTGTTATAATTTTTTTGGAAATGTCAAAACCCTGATTACAACTAAAATGATGTTATGTACAATATTCAACATTCATAGATTAGAGGCCTTTGAATATTGTATTCTTGATTGTGATTTTTTAGCACTTTTCTGCTTTCGCTTTTGGGTAGACATCACTGTCTTATGATATCGACCACTTGTATGCAGGCAATTCGCATAAAAGTGTGTGACAAACGAGCTATGCAGGCCACTGGCATGTTCTGTATTTTAATCTTTTACCCTTATGTTGTTTGTTCTTGTTGCTGTTTGAAACTTGTAAGGCAACTCTGACACCTGAATGATCATATTATCATGTACAATCGGTTTTCCAACATTGATATTGAATATGTATCCTCAGGACTGCTACTTTGTTAAACTGTATTGTATAAGTTGGATCAAAAGTTGCATCACTAGAATTTAGTAGAAATTGCCAAAGTCTAATAAAAAAAGAAAGAAGAAAAACTTAAAGATAATCTCCACCTACTGACCATATTTTTTTGAAGACTGAAACAGGAAACACAACATTTTTCTTCCTGGGTTTAATAGAAAATCACACATTCAGTGTTTTGATTTTTTAATTGGCGTACACAATTGATAGAAATTAACTAATTAAGGAGTTGAATATTAATTGTTTTCCCAACAAAGCAAAGTGTGTAAGTGTGTAAGTTGTTTTACATCATGTGTATATTAATATATGCACGTATATATAGAAAATATTTATTGCTTAGACTATCTTGGGGCCTGTATATCTGGCTTAGCCATCAGCCAATACTACAAAAAGCTCAGCTGATAAAAGCCTATTAAAAGCATCTATCTAAATATTCCAGATGGCATATCCATTATCTGGGGAGGCCCCAGTATTTTTATACCTGCCAATTTCTGTTGGCAAGCCCTTTAGTCCATTGGGATATTACTAGTAAATACTACATGTACACATGTAGTTTAGATATCTTAAAAGGAAATGTAAACTTGCAATTAGCCTGTAATTTACTTAAGGGGCTGTTATTTTTGCTAAAGCACTCACTATTTTCTTAACCATATTGATTCTGAAGTGGTCTAAATTAAACATAGTGATTGGTTTAGTGAGTAAGGGGGAAATTGGCGAATAGCATTATATATAGAGAACCCCCTCAAGTGAAAAGAGGCTGGTAGATGCGATAGCGGAAAAGCGCGCTCAAGTTTCTGAAATTGAACAGGATCACCCATAGAGATGGGACCTAAAAATAACAGCCGGGGCAGCTGAGGTTAGAAGTCGTGCCTGCATAAATGACCCTGTTGACTGAAACGTGGGGGCACCCCTGGGCCCACTCACCGCGTATCAAGTGTCTCGGACTGAACTGTTTGAACACAGATGATAAGGCCTCCCCGCCACGCCCTACAGTTTGTCGTCCAGGAGCCGTGCACCGTGGGAAAAGACGCCAACGTACGACGCGTCCAAACACGTGTAAATGTTGGCTTGTAACTATGCCAATGTCCCAACACTTGTACAAAATGTATGTCCTGTGTTTTGACCAATCAGGGCTTGATATCTTAATTACTATTTGATGAAATCTGAAGTATGGTAGCTTACTGTTACAAGTTGATATATAAATTTCATTAGATTGACAGAAATACTGTGTAAGAAGTTGTATTCAGTTATTTCAGTAACCAGTGGGTTTTCTCATTCAATATTTTGCCATTAATTCTTGCCCTGAAGAACTTGAAGTTGAACAAGGTGACAGATGGTCACCAAACCTTCTTATTCTTAAAAAAATTGCTTTGCTAATATTAGATCTACAAGAATTGATCTTTTGTTATTGATTAAAGATTAATTGTGATATTGATCACAATTAGTAATATTTGATTTTTTGAAAGAAAATGAAATCTTTATGATTAATTCTGTTACTAATAATATTCCCATTATCTTATTACTGCATGTACACATGTTGGACTTTGCACTCCCAGCAAACCAAGCAATTATCGTATTATCTCAACTGGAAAAATACCGCATCATTAGATTAAGAAAAGATCATTAGTTTCAGATGCCATACAGGGTCATTAATTTGGCCTGCGGCTGGTCATATATGTTTGTGTTGTGTTAAGTGATGATCCTGTTTTCCCTACCAGTTTGTAAGGTAAACATTTTTCCCCCGAACCGGCTTT